GCCATAAAAATAAGTAGTAAAGTAAAGTAAAAATATCAGAAAAATCTACTTGAGTACAGTAACGAAGTATTTGTACTTCGCTACTTCCCATCTCTGAAAATAACGATGCACAGGACTTTGTTTCCAGGTTTGAAGACGTTTTGCTTCACATCCAATTCAAAATGTCAGAATTAGCGTTGAGTTCGAGGCTTTATAGCGTAGCCCAACGTAGCCTTGTTATGGGTTAGAAAACATGCAAATTGAACCGGATGAACGGGTCCGCCTCTTGGGAATGGGAAGTCGTTTGGGTGCTTTGTTCACCTGCTATACCCTATACTGGTCTATGCCTCTATGATTCATGTGTAGTTTCTCTTCCTGGCCAGTAAGTGGTGCACTAGTGCTCACCAGCTCTTGACTGAACTGTAAAGTGCCTTGAGATGACGTGTTGTGAATTTGGCGCTATATAAATACACTGAATTAAATTGAAATTGACTGCTAACAGGCTACCAGGTCCAGCAATGCAAATGTTGACCTTAGTTGTAACTTTACAACCTCTGCCAACTTCCCACTTTGCATCTTAAATCGGCCCAAACACTAAAAAGATGAATTGACGTTCCCCGTTGTTTTGCCTCTTTTTTGTTTTTGCTTCTAATCTAATCTAAGAAATGTAATGCCACGAAGAAGTAATTTCTTTCTCTGACATGACTTCAATCTACTGTTGCTATTGGTGCAGAATCACCAAGGGAGTCAATATTTATATTTTGGATCCATCAAAGTGTCATAAAACAATCATTTGTAAACAGTCGATTTATCTATTTTTATACTTTCTTCCTACAACTCTAGATATTCTGAGGATATGTCATGTTTGAATAATTTATCATTTTGATAGAAAAGATTAATCTACAGTTTTAATATATCATTTATGTTAAAACTATAGTAGTTTTATAAAGAGGAAGTTAAGGAAAATACGTGTTTTTAAAGCTCTGATGTTCAGGAGAAGTATGTTGGACCGCCAATAGATCCATAGATCTATAGACCAGAATAGATTTTACTGCCATGGAGTCAGAGGTTGTTGTTCATTAAAGCGGCTTTCTTGAATATGTATTTATGTATTGTATATTTATATATATGTTCAGAGTGGTTGTAAATCTAGGGTTGGGGACACTCTGGACACCAGTCCATCATAGCAGCCCCTGATCCGATCAGACATCCTGACTCTGAAGTTTCCTTGATTGCAATTTGAACTCAAACTTATCATAGAAATAATGATGTTTTCTGTGGTCTTTCATGAGCTGCACCTCTTTAATCCACAGAAACCCTGAGTTAAGGTCCTGACACTGATTTTAACTCAGATTTCCATGTTTATCTTTAGATGTGATCTGAAAGCAATCAACTCTGAATATTCTACTGGCATAACCATCCAGCCTTGGACAAGGATTAAAACAGCAAACATTTTACAAGAGACAAAGTGCAGCATTTAGTCACAAAACAAGGAGAAGGCAATGAGGACCTTAAGTCCTGCATTCATCTTATTAAAAAGCAAAGAGCTGAAGCTAAAAGCTGTCCCGAATCCTCCTTCAGTGAAACGACTTCAGATGCTTTAAAAGGTTGATCAGCAGCAGATGCAGCAAAGCATCCAGTTTCTGACTCTCAGAATGTGACATTTATGACTAAATCTCACATTGTTCATCCAATGTGATGATGAGCGATACAAAAGTGTTGCTCTGCAGTTAGAGCTAATGTTTCCTATTTTTAACCAAATGACACTTCCTCTAAATGCTGGAAACACTTCAGAATAACTTAAATGCAGTTTTTCTTTGTAGTTTAAGTACACATTAGCACTCAGTTTGTATATTATTAATTATTTTATTCTATGTGTGCTAAAGGTGACGAATTAAACTATGCTTTAGTTTGTTTAATGTTTATGTTTAGTAGGAAGTTTCTCATAAAGGCTAAATCAATATCCAAGTTGGATTCTTTTCTCTTTTGGGTGGAGTCTAGATGACCAAAGTGCTTTGTGAGTCATAAAACTAAAACTGCTATACAAAAAAATATTGGCAAATACTTTAAAATCATAAGATATAAACTGGACTTATGACAGCAATTAACTCGTTTATTTGTATCTATCGTGCTCAGCCATAAATAAAGACCAGCAGCTGAAAGTTTACAGATTTAAACCAATCAGTTCAAGCCCACACTAAGACAAAGAAAAACAAAAACGTTTTTCTGCAGTGAGGTTGAAAGAGAGCCGATCTACTGGGCTTCAACTGAAAACCACGGTAGTAAAACCCTTTAAACTCAACTGTATCCTATTTGATACACTTTTTGAGATCTCTGCAGATGTGGAAAGAGTACTAAAAAATTGTAATTGAGTAAAAGTATCTTTACTTTGCCTAAATTCTACTCAGAGTAAAAGTAAAATTACCCATCTCAAAATTTACTCAA